GCGTTTGGCCGGACCGCCACAAAACGACATGTCATTGTCCGCACAGCGCGGCCGCAGAGCCGGCCCAGGCGTCTTCGCCGCGGTGGAGCTACGGCCGGCGCTGACGACGGTCCTGGTCAGGCACGGCCGGCGCTGACGACGGTCCTGGTCAGGCACAACGCTGACGCCAGTCCGGGTCAGCGCGCGGCACCGGCAACGGTCCGGGTGAGGCGCGGCACCGGCGACGGTCCGGGTCAGCGCACGGCACCGGCGACGGTCCGGGTCAGCGCGCGGCACTGGCGGCAGTCCGGGTGAGGCACAGCCCGGGCGACGGTCCGGGTCAGGCACTGCCCTGGCGACAGTCCGGGTGGGACACGGTCCTGGCGACAGTCCGGGTAAGGCACGGCCCTGGCGACAGTCCGGGTCAGGCACGGCCCTGGCGACAGTCCGGGTCAGGCACGGCCCTGGCGACAGTCCGGGTCAGGCACGGCCCTGGCGACGGTCCGGGTCAGCGCGCGGCACTGGCGGCAGTCCGGGTCAGGCAAGTCGCTGGGCGGGCGCCTCCGCGTCAGCGTGTTGGGCAGCCTGCAGGTACGGCTCACGCTCGCCCGTTGTTTGCCCATACGAGCCATGGCAGACTGACTAGCAGCTTCGCAATCTTTGGCGTAGGCAGCGATACCGTTTGGGGAAAGATAACAGAGGAGGAAGAGCTTGCATTGGGCGCACGTGCATCTCTGACCTCGAGATAAACACACGTGCATCCGATAGCTGGCGGGGAAATCAGACATCATGTGGGATTGAACACAACAGGAGAGGTTCAGCTGTTCCGTGCCATTGGTTTCGTAAGCCCAGTGGGCCCAAATTATTTTATCCGTAACACCAGCACAAAAATCGCTGGGTAGCCGGGGATTCCGCAAATGCGAAAGCCGTCCTTCCAGTCACGAGCGAGCAACGGTTTCGGGGTATCGAGACATACGTTTTGGTGATTGGTGATTGGCGGATATGGCATAGCATTGTTCAAACGGCACTCTGGGACAAAGAAGTCGAACAGAAGACGGAGACGTTCAAACAAACAAAATGTCAAAGCGGAAGATTAAAACTAAAAACGCAGAATGAACGCAAAACAAAGAAACAGTGTTGCCGACCAAAACCCGGCACACGGCTTGTTGGGCATCTCGCCGTTGGAAATATATTGTGGGTTGCTATGACGTTCAGGTGCTGTTCAGGGTGGTGGGGGGGGGGGGTTAAGTTGTTCCACGTTTGCCCTGAAAATGGTTGGTCCGCTTCGTTAGCTGTTCGAGAGGTTTTACGAAGGATGCGCAACTTGCTATCGATTATGAAAATGCAAGTGCAATCCAAACGAAACAATCGTTTCATTCCAAAAGTGTATTTGCTAATGCAGAGGGCGGAAACAGGCCTCATTTTTCAACACAGTCCTGCGAAATAAACGGCCAAATTTAGCGGACGATGATGCCTTGACCGGTGACAGTACAGGGTTATTATTGTTTTCAATGATAGTCAATGTGTGCAAATAATCGAGAATAATGTCTAATAAACAACATCCGCTCATTAGCAGTTCTAAAATATAGTGGTCACTTCTTTTGGACTGCTCCTTGTAAATTGCGAATGGTTAATCTGGCATGGAAGTCCGTGCTATCGCAGGCTTCCAAATGGACTTGCGAGGCGATTGCAGAGCACATGGATCTTGCTCAATCGTAGCTCGGGTATCGCAGGATTACCGGACGTCCGTTCATCTGCGTTATCATTCTGTTTTCAATATCAATAATTTGCTTCAATTAAGATTTCAGGCTATCGTTGAGTTCTTAAGATGTGGGTTTAAGTAACTAACAAAAAGAAAACAATCGTCCATCCAACCATGTTATTCACTGGCTGATTTCGTTAATTGCCAGGTCTTAAAATTCAGTTTTCATAAACCCTTGCAGATCTCCCTTGTTACCCCAATGGCCGCGCGAAAGCAGTAGCCATTCTTGGACCAAACCAACTGAGGGGGATTTAGGTGGACTCCCTGGGCTGTTTCAGACGGTAGTGGCTCGGTGTCGCGCAGAACGCTCGACCAGATAAGCTCTGCTCAGACTGCAAGATGGCTCACTGCGTTCCCTTTGGCTCTGGTTTGTCTCTGGCCCAGGCTCATTTCTGATTTCGGCGTAGAGAGAAAGTCGGACACCGAAGGGGGGGGGGGGGGGGGAGGGGAGGGCGATGAAGGGCGGTGAAACACTATATGTAGCAATGGACATTACATTGGACGTTGCATTGAGCATGAAGTCGCCGCGCAAAATACAATGACGTTATTTACAGACCACCAGCTGAGCTCCTTCAACTCTCAATACAAGAGTGATGTTTTTAACATCCTGTCACTAATCGGACGGCTCAGTTTAAGATTTGCGGGAGTTGTTGAAACTGAAAATAACGCATTTATCGCGTAACGCGTGGGGTCGATACCGCACCACCAGTGCTTTTCAAGCGCACAGGGTGACGCAAGCTGACAAAAGCGCTCGACAGATCAACTGAGGCTGGGGATGACGTCTACCCTATGTCAGCGCAACTGCTGATGTGTGATGACGCAGCACATAGCCAGAGCCGTTTGTACAGATAATCCCGGTGCATTTAAGGAAGTGTTCCACCTTTGGGGCATGTTTCAAAAACATGCTCTCGAAACCTCGGGACTAGTTATTCTAATAACAGCACCAGTTAGTGTCACTGCAGCACGGTCAAGACATAATACGGATATCAATTTTAAGCATCTTCGAGTCCAAATTACGCCGTCAGTACTCCCAAAAACACACTTAAGTGAAACGTCAGGAATAGTTGGGTTTAATAGTAGCACTGGGTAGTGCTGCTGCAGCACCGTCAAGACACAATAAGGATGATGATGATGATTGGGGTTTTAGGGCGAGCCGACTTCTGAACTCACTTTCCGTCCAGTATCAATTCTAATTATTTTCGAGTCCGAATTACGCTGTCGACGCTTCGCAGCAGCACTACACTTCTTCCCTGTATCCGCGACCACCGTTGTCGTGAAAATCATCGTGGGCACCCCTGCTGGTGTGAATAAAAGAACGTTTGAGATTGGCCCAGTGGGCAAGGACTTGTTACCGAGGAGCACATTCGTTGAAGTTTAAACCAGAGCGTCACGTGGAAGATGTGATACAGCCAAGGCTACTGGAGAAGGCTACACAGACGTGATGTCACCATGGACTAAAGTTTGGTAGCGTGAAATGTGATTTTTGGTTGATACTACGAAAAGGTCAGAAGACACTAGTCACGTGATGAAAATCGGTGATTTCGCCATTGAACTGGATGGAAACACTGCTCTACACCTTCATTTTAATATCATATGAATAGATATAATAATTTTGCATTCCAGCCCTTCTAAAGACAACTCTATACCAGGATCTGACCGTAAAAACAAACCCTACTAAACCACGTTTTCTAGTTGTAGCACTCGTGCCATATTCGTTGGGGCGAACGCGCGTGAATATCCAATCTATTTTTACACTGCAGTACCTACATGGAGTGGAAATGTGAAAATAAGGTTATGTGAGGAAGGTAGGTGCCAAGAATTTTACTGTTGCTGTGCTGTGATCTTCCTAGGTGCTGGTTAACTTGCGGATCTATAATGATGGATAGGACAGATAAAAATGTTGCGCAGAAAATAACACCCTCACCACGCTAACATATCCCTCCTAGACTTTTTCTGAACTGAGACATGGGCCTCGACTCTTTGACTCGCATAAAGTGCAAAACTTGCCAGAAATCGGTCTATTTTACAATGAAAAAAATAATGCTATCTTGAACGTGCTGTATCTAAGCCCCTGGATTTCATCACTCAGTAACCCCATACGGGCAGACCAACCCTGCATCCACCCTGACAACGCTCCCACTAAGGCTGCAGGATGTGCATTCCAACTTCTCAATGCGCGTCCTGGGGCGCGTCTCATTTCCACTATATGTTGCTGTGGCATGTTGCACTCTTTTACACATGCTGTTTCTAAGCACTCTAAGCGCTTTTCTAAGGCCAGAGCTCTTCGGGGCGAATCACTGGTTAATGGGTAACCCCATCTGTCTGTCAGGGCAGGCTGGAATCGCATTTCAGCAATGATTTTGTGTCTCTGTTGCTAACCAACGCTATTTTCCAGCTTAAAATATTGCATTGAATGCACTAGGCAGACAACGATTCGGTTTTTGGACATATGTGTGTTTAAACCAGCCTGCAAAGAACGCCGCCATAGCGTTAGTGCCATATGACTTGGTCCCATGAAGACGTCACAGCATCGCTACCCAGAATGCAGCAGTGCGGGGTTTGGATACAGCCATTCCCAGAGCCCAAGCGCGCCTCGTATAGAGTCACTGTGGTAAACGTCATAGTGTATATAAACTGGGGAGCGATCAAAGCCACAATATAGCGTTTCGCTGAATTCACGGGAAAATAACTTCATGTTCGCAGATTCCTCCTGTCTGAGCATAATGCTTCAAGCTTTCGTGGCATGAATTACGCAAACATTTTGACTCAGTACACGTCGGAACGCAAACGTCCGAAAAAGTGAGGCTTGCAAAATGTGGCTTGCATGTCTGGTGACTCGACAGCCAGTCTACTATCGCACTGTGTGAATGTTGACTGACTTGACTACGATCTCGAGAGCGTGGGACTTGGTGACCGATCTGCCCTCACGCCACGTGACTCGACTGCTGACCTGCCTTCACGCCGCGTGACTCGACTACCGACCTGCCCTCACGCCGCGTGACTCGGCTGTCGATCTGCCCTTCCACGGCGTGATTCACTGCCCGATCTGCCCTCACGCCGCGCGACTCGGCTGCCGATCTGCCCTCACGCCGCGTGATCCGGCTGCCGGCCTGCCCTCGCACAGCGTGATTCACTGCCCGATCTGCCATCACGCCGTGTGATTCGGCTGCCGATCTGCCCTTCCACGGTGTGATTCACTGCCCGATCTGCCCTTACCCCGGGTGACTCGATTCAGCAGTCTCGCCCGAACCAGACTCACCTTCTTGGCATCGTTGTTGTTGTCGGTGAGCGTGACGGCGCCGTTGGTGGAGACGGCGCCATCGGTGGTCATCATCTCCTCCGACCCTCTCTGCAAGCAGGGCCGGACGGGCGGCGTCAGCGGCGGCGGCCATAGCGGCGAGCGCAGCCCAGGGCTGCTGGCCGCCCTCCTGAGGCTTACAACCCAACGCCGACGCCGAAATCAGCAAGACACCATACCGATAAAGGCAGGCTGGTCTCTCACCTGGCGCGGTCAAAACTAAGTAACAGCCCGATCGTTAGATTGCAAGTTATTTTCCATGCCTAATTATTTGAACTGATTTCCCCTTCCCAGGACGCAGGTGAAAGGGGGCCGACGAACTTGCAAAACACAGGGAAAGGAAAGGGAGAAACAGACAGACATGCACAGCGGGAGAAAAGGGGGAGATAGACGTGCGTGAGAGCAATATACGGGAAAGGAAGGGGACAGACAGACAGACGGGAGAATGGGAGGAGACGGACGTGTGTGCGAGCAATATACGGGAAAGAAAGGGGACGAACAGACAGACGGGAGAAAGGGAGGGGACAGACGTGTGTGCGAGCAATATGCGGGAAAGGAAGGGGACGGACAGACGCGCGAAACATTAGGGAGACGGACTGGATGGGGTTGACAACCGTGCGAAATAGCGGGAAGGGGAGGCAGACAAACGCGAAACGTGAGGAAGTAGGGAGGACAGACAGATGTGCGATACGGGAAACAGGAAGGGGACCGACTGGCTTGCCCAACGCAGTAAAGGGAAGGAAACAGGGGCAAAGGCGAAGCACAAGGAAAAGGGAGAGGAGACGTGTGAAACCAACACCCTAGCTGAGGGGGGGGGGACGCATAACACGAAAACCAGGCTCGCATATCACATGCGGGCGGAACGCGAGAGCGGGCAGCGGCGGCGCATACAGTTGGCAAATTGTGGCGGAAGCCGACCCGCAGGTGGGACCGGCTGTCAACCCCTCGACGGCGACCCGCACTGGACTACTGGCAGCTCTGCACGCCCTCCATCAGTGGCAGGCAAAGAGGGCCGCCGCAGCACCCTCACATCCACACAATATTCCATGTTTGCAGTGAATTGTCTGTCCTGGCATGCAGCCAATGCACGCGTTTTTTCCACTTCTAAACGATGGCTGGCTTGCTAGCGAACGACCGCCACACCGGTAATACATTCACTGTGGGATGTTATGCGATGTGTTGGTATAAAGCGCGATTTTGCTGCGCCGAAAGAAATATCAATGGGTTATGTTGTGCATGCTGATGCGACCAAAATATCGCACACCTGACCATGCCTTCGAAACGTGCATCAAATGACACTACCTTCTTGCGTGCGACTGGGTTGCTATACCAACGGAGGCATTCTGCAGTGTGACGCTTATCTGAAATTTCATCAAAAACAGCCAGGGACCCCGGAACGCTCCTGCTCTCATTCCAACTTGCAACCGTGGAAGCGATCAGCTGGTAAGGCGCGCAGGGAGGAACAGCAATCTTAAACATGTTTTACATAGCATTCCGGATACTGCTTTTTGCCTCTCAAATTCGACCTCAATCAGAATCGGCGTCAGAAGCCACAAGCATACTTCGCTGGAGATGACAATGACCTATACTTACAAGGATATTTTAGTTTATTCCTTGGAAACCCCTCTCTTGAATGTACTGGGAGGTACTGACTCTCAAATAGCAATTAGCGCGATATTTATCAGTATATATTATGAGGGTGCTTAGCATTTCAACGCAGCGCACGTGGTGAAACATGGGCGAAAAACTGCATGAATTCAGTTGGCGTTAAACACGTCTTAAGGAAAATGCCGCTGAATGTGGGGAAGCAACTATATGAATGAAATGTCTACCTAATAAGTTTTACCAGAATGCGACTCTGGGACACAATTGTGTTCAAAACTCTAATTTTGTCTCCAGAGTTGAGTTTGCGTTTTCCTTGCTGGCTGAATGCCTGCACTGTAATATTACGCCGTTTCGATATTTGTTATAATAAGCAGGTGGTTAAAAGTTGAGGTGGAAGCAGGAACTTATCAAATTCAGGTGTTTGTGCGACTCATATGTTACAGGATAACAAATAAATACGGTTTTCAGTGATAAGTATTATAAGTCTTCAAAACTAAAACTTCAACTTAATAGGCTATCAGTGTGCTTATGGATTCTTAATGGGCTGCCTGGTTGATCAGATGAAAAACGGCATGGGTCGGGATCCACGTCTGGTTGATCAGATGAAAGACGACATGGGTCGGGCCCCACGCCTGGTTGATCAGATGAAAGACGGCATGGGTCTGGCCCCACGCTATTACGCCTGACATTTGCCGAAATTCACTTAATTTTACCTGTCTGAGGTGCACATGATACAAAACTATCGAGCGCTTTTTTGGCGGCATCCATAGCCCTGGTGTGCCCAGAGCGTGTCCATATCCCTGGCCAGAGACCTGCGCAGCACAGACGATGCGTGACTGATGTTGCAGACAAGATCATAACAGTATAACGGATTCAACAAATGTGGGACCTGACAGGCACAATGACTGCAAGACGCGCTCAAACTCACAGCTGTCTGATGAATGGTGTTTACGTCGCATTTCACCATCTAAGTACACAAAGCTTTTACAAAATAATTCACCGAACACCTTATGCCATATTTTTGGGATGCAAAGTCGTGCATGCATAAAATATGACACAAACTGCACAGGTATTGTGCAGCGCTGCACACGTGAAACCGAGTTTTCAGTCGCTCTGGGGGCAAATTTGACGTTTTAATGTTTGCAAAAACAACAGAATTTTGGGTGCCAAATTCAACGTTGCAGACTCAGCCCGACATGGGATGGAGCAGCTCAACGCCGGGGAGGGGGCGTGGCCCCTGCAAAGAGACAAGACGTTCCGCCCATTGTTTGTCATCCATCCGCACCGAAAATAAGCCGCGAGTGCGAGCACACTGTTGGATATCAGGTAGCGCTCTCCGACGCCCAGACGGTTCGCAAATTTCATTTTATGTTATGACGATACTTTTCCTGACCTCAGTTTGATCTATCAAGTCAAGAACAAGACGTGTCGATTTGACGTGGCGTGCAAGGCGTTAACACCATATTGCGCTACGCTGCGGGGCGTTTACGTCATGTTGCGCCATGTTGTCAAGCATGTGCGCCGTATTGCGCCACAGCGCGGTTATAAAACGTGTGGGTGTGTTGCTCTTTCGGGTCTAAGCCTGAGGCCAGGTGCGTGAAAAGTTCTGAGCAATGTGAGGCAACTGGCAAGTGTTTAAGTGGACGCAGTACCTCTAGAAGCATCGCCGCGTTCATGCCGCGGCTGCAGTAAGCGGCCATCTGGGCGTCTCTTTGCTGACCACATCGCCCGGAATAGTTGATCTTGGCGACTGTGATTTGAATGCTAAGGATCGGACGCATAATTATCACATTTCATGTGAAGAAATGATCACAGGATACAAAGACTGGCCGACACAGACCATTAACGGGCTGTTTTTATATATTAAAATATTCCAGTGTGCCAGCCCGTTGATGGCCTAAGGCTACAACTTCGTTACTCCTTTTGATCATGCTAAATAGTCCATAAAATTATTATTGGCATGCACAAAATTGCTTTGGTTTTAATGGCAATGTCTGGATGCGCTCCGGCCACCACAAATCTTGGACCATTTCATCCTAAAGAGCACTAAACTCTGGCTGAGCAGCGTCGGCGGCAGTGGGTAGCTAGATCACGCTGACCCCACCAGGCGATGTCCAACAACTTTTCAGAAAGCTCGTCAGTTTGGAGTGACTAGAGCCAAGTGAGGACGTGAAGCCTTTGGGGTCATACCCCTCCAATCAATCAAAACGGGATGATAAGCCTAAAAACGCCCCCCGGGTCCCAAATAGGGTTCCTATCACAACAAAGTAAGACTTCTCTGGTTGAAAGGACTCCTTATCCTTTGATTTCGCCCTTCCCTGGACGAAATCCTGGCTACGCCACTGTTCTTTTCCAGGTCCCTGTGAGTTTGTTGGCACTTCTACATAATTGGTGACTACCTCTTTTCACTCTGCGCTATACCACAGACGCAGCGGTCGAAGTACCGATAGTTTCTGTTTCGCTAGTAACTTGGAGAGTTAAAGGCAGTGTTCCATATCGGTATGGGTTTTTTTAACTGAGTCGTCTCGAAGATCATTCGTTGGAGTTCACAGCCCTGTCCTTCTTAAAATAAAAAAACCCTAGTTTCTAAGCTACACGTCTGCGAAGATGTGCGAGCTATTTCGAGGAGACTATTTCAAGGTCATCCAGGCATCCGTGAAGTTGTACAAAGCTTGTCATTCCATTAATCATATGGTGACCAAGGCCAAGAAAACGATAATCGTCGACCGTTTACATCAGGGGTTCGGGGGCACAATTTGCAGATGTAACGACCGTGAAATGGCCCTCAATCAATGCCGTGCAATGCCAATGACATTGTATGACGTATTCAAATGATGAGGTATTAAGCAGCATATTACTTAACAAAGGAAGTTTTGTTTAGAGCAATATTTTCCATTATTTCATCATATCTGGTGTTTGCTTTAATACCTTCAAATGGGGAATATTCGCTTTACTAGTTTTGTTAACCAATGGTCCGGCTTTCGCTCTATCTTATGGGTTTAATTGACACAATTGACTTGGCCTTGCCGATCACTAACGTCATCACAATCTCCAGCACTCAAACTTAGTTGAACACGCTTCTGTCGGCAGCGAATTCGAGCCAGTCGTTTCGGCCGTTACAATGCTGAGTGTTCGGGTCTGGTACGTACGGACATTAATTTGCTCCCCGATAAGTCATTTTACCTCATTAAGCCCTCTTCACCCCACCAGTCACACGCGCGATGCTACACTCAGCGAGCGCGATCCGAGTCGGCAGTTGACTGAGCTCTGTTGCCAATTGGCGTCACGTCCGGTCCGCTTGGACGAGCGTCCCCGTCAAAATCAGAGCCCTTCCGTACCGGCACTTTCATAACATTCGCTTCATGTGCGACGAGGCTATCCCTCGCTGTCCACTGGCTTCGGCAGTTGGTCACATTGCTGTGCTGTTGTTGGATCCTGCGCCCCGGCGAGGGAGAGGCAATGACAGCTGGCTACACTGAACCTTTCCGGTGACTGGTCAGAGTGTTATCAGTGACCTGTCGACCTGACTCGTGACCTGTGGCTGGCCTGCGACGAGACCGGAGTAAGCGAACATTTTTTAAACCGAAAGTGAAATTCAGCATCACGTCCTGCGGGGATAATCTTGTGAATGCTCTTGACAGCAACCGGACGTTTCCGGGCCACCCGTTCGCAGGTCACCGCCTTAAAAACGGTCAAAACCGTTTTCCCCCAGCCCAGTGCGGTGAGAAGCTGGCGGGCTGATTCCCAGGCCGAAGGAAAAACGGCTGAAGCACCGCCGCTGCGCTCCGTCGGCTTGCCTGAAGCCCCGGAGCGCTCAGCTCCTGTCTGGAAGCGCGAGCGATGCCGATGGCTAAATGGGCGTGACACCCCCCCCCCCCCCCACCCCTTTGGAAACTACCAGTGTGGGAGAGATTCCAACTGACCAAGCAGTCCGACACTGACAGGGGGCTGATGTGTGCCTCCAGTGCGGTAAGCCAGAAACGACGGAGAAAATGTCATTGGCATGACCATATAGACAGTTCAATGAATGATCAGTTACCTGAATGACTATTTTCCGTATCCTATCGGTGCACACTTTTCCGCCACCTTATATTTTAATTGGATGCTGAGTGGGTGTCATCTCTGCTACCTATGTTGACTGTGACTATCTATGTTGAACCCAAGTATGACGCATGCATTTGTGCGTTGTGGGCGCTCAGAGCCCAGGACCAGTACGGTGGGTCTAAGATAGTCAGCTGACACTAAACCATTGTTGGGAAATCCGGCATGACGGGCGTGGCGGCGCACACTGCCCTTCAAAAGGAGATGATTATAACATTTGTAAAGCCACGATGGCCATTCCGGTGGCTCGGCCACATCGACCTATTGCGGCCTTTCCACATGTGCACAATCGAAGTTACCATCATACATGGTCGAATGCTAAGAGCGATTGTCAGAGCAGGATCGGCATGCGACTAGTGTTGTACATCTGTTTCTTCTCTGGGGGATGGGACCTTTGCGAGCGAGACCACCCTACATGCCATCACGGGATCGCACCGACGCTGGTAGGGGGGCCCCCCCGGACACCGCTTTTGGAATTTTCCACCGGAGCTATCTGGTGCTGCGTGACCAGGGCCGTACAAAGCTGATAAGCAGTGACATTAGGTCCGCACAAGAAGCTATCATGAGGATCAAGCCACTTTCTTCAAATCATCTCACATTTCGAACATTGCTGAACCATTCGTTGTCAATTTAATCCCGTGTTTTACTTATGTTTTCAGCCCCTTCCCCCGTAACCTTTACGGGCTTCTTCAAGAAACTGTCCCACCTTTGGAGCTTATTTTAAAAACATAATTCAGTGAAACGTCAGGAGTAGTTGGGTGTAGTAGTAGCACTGGGTAGTGCCGTTGCAGTGCCGTCAAGACATAATAAGGATGACGATGATGACTGGGATTTTAGGGCGAGCCGACTTCTGAACTCACTTGGCGTCCATCATCAATTTTAAACATTTCTTAGTCCAAATTACGCTGTCAACGCTTTGTCAAATCACTTCACTTCTTTACTGCGGTCGCAACCACCGTCGTCATGACAACTGTGCGCACCTTTACTTGTGCGAATAAAAGAACGGTCGTGATAGGCCCAGCGGGCCACGGCCTGTTACTGAGGAGCATGTTGGTTAAAGTTTGAACCAGTCACACGGATCATGTGAAACACCCATTCCCAAAGCCATAGTAAAACGTTTCGTTGAATTCGCTGGATAACAGCTACATGTTCGCTTATTTACTTTGTCTAAACGAAGTGTCTCAAGGTTTCGTAGCATTTATTACACATACAGTTTAACACATAAGGGTGCGGCAAACATTACAGAACGCAGACGTTGCAAAAAGCAAGGCAAGTAAAATGTACTGGTTTCATCGTGGTGAGCAAGGCACCAAATGAGTTAAATTTCTCCCACATGGTCGACCACTTTAGATAAAAATTCTGAGCTATTCAGGATTTCGAGAAAACTGGTAGTACCGATCAAATCACGCACATCCGCTTTGATAAGTGAAAAGTACAAAAAGGGGGATACTCCCTTTAACAACACTGTACCAAATAAGTAATTCATGAACAACTGTCGGCAGAAAATTATGCCGCATAAGGGAATGGTCTATAAAATGTGTCTTTTATGGTCGGTAATGAATGCGACTTTTAGCAGAATAATTGTTTTTTTGATCGGTCGCAACATTTGGACAACGATTACGCTTAACAGCTTACATATTTTCGTCGATATGTGGTACAGAGATGTGCACAGTAGCTCGGAACAATGCCAACACAATCCTCTGCAAATGGTGAATAGCAAATTGTAAAATCCGTTTTGATACCATAAAGAGTGCAAATATAAATGAACGCATATTTACTTTGCCATCGTTGTTCGATGTAAATATGTGCTAACTGTGCGTCTTTAAGAAAAGGTTTCAAATGTCAGCGACTGAGCACAACTCCTACTATACATGGCAATGTCCAGAGAAGGAAAACACGAGCTCCCTGGAATCAAGGTCGTCCCGTAACGCACCCCACCTAAGCTCATTCCACGTCAAACATCACAACGGGGCGGCATGAAGCGATGGGTGGCGTCAGAAGGGCAGAAGTAGTGTTATTCAATATGACCGCGGAAAGCCGGTTTCTGGGTTCTGTGACCGCAGTGTCGTCCCCTGTCAGAAAGTCCGCTTTATCCCAGCCCAAGTGGCATCCCGTCCAATGACAACAGTAAAGTCTGTTATTTCGCTGCCCGCACGGCAAACCGTCCCCTCCCCCCCCCCCCCCCCCTCCTGGAATGTTCCGGCCCGGTGGGGCAGATACAATGGAGAAGGCGGCGGTGGACGGCCGGGCAGGCAGGGGACAGCGCCGGAGTGGACGCTCACTTCCAGACAATACAAGCGCCACGGACGCGCTTTCAACCGGCCAGGCACGAACACACCGGCCCGCGCGATATCGCGGCAGCGCCGCATCAGGGCGGCAGCGGGACTGAGAAGGGGCTGGAAGGCGCACCGTCTTGTCCGGGGACCGCGGGGCGCGCGTCGGCACCGCCGCACATGCCGCCGGCGGCGGCGGCCGCAGACAAAACGCGCCGGCCCAGCCGGGTCACGTGACCAGCTGGCCGTGCGGGTCGTCGGCCGCGGCCGACCATCGTGGGCCCGTGCAGTATTGATCAGGTCACGGCGACACGCGGTCGGCGGTACAGAGACGGACTCGTGTCCGGGCGGGACTGCATAGCCGGCCACGCCAGGTCGTCGGCGCACCGCCGCATGCCGAACACGCCGACTCACCATTTCCAGACTGGTTGATACCTCCAGCGTGACAGAGGAGAGCGAAGGCGAGGCAGATGACGGCACCGGTGCGAGTCGCGACGCTCAAGAGACAGAAGGAAAGGTGCGCGAGACGCCGCCCGACACGCAGCGGATGCCGGAGGCGGGAGCTCCCCCAATGAACAGTACGGAGTGAATGGGCGCCGGCCGGCTTGATCGGTCGCCGGCCTGCGAGTCTACGCCACTGCGCATGGTCGGCGTGCTAGCGCCTCCCAATATCGATTTCCGTCTCAACAGGTGCTGACGGCCAGGCCGACAGGTAAGCAACGAGAAGTCCGTTGCCTGGTGCGCAGCATTTAATGCAACGTTCCCAACTGGACCAGCATTTAACGTAATGCAATGAACCAAACCATCCATAAAACACACGCGTGGATAACGGTGCTTATGCTCTTTCCTTCACAGACGCATTCCGCCGATTTTGGCCAGGTATGGGCGGTATTTGCGATACATTTACATGTCATAAGTCGTAGGTGACCGAGGTTAGGTCATCCCAGGCCAAATGAGGTCAGCTTCTCAACACCCACTCGTCTGTAGGCTAGTTTCTCTGATCTAAGCTTGCGCGTGGGACATCGCTGCATCGTGCGTTTTGTTTCTATGACGGCATAACCAGGTGCGTGGTTTCATGAATATTGTTTTGTGGGGTCTGAAACTCCAACCGAATAGCAAACTACATCGCTGGATATGCCTCAGATATCGGCCCAGGCCACCCGCATGGTTAATCAGACAGACCACCCACAGCCACGTACTCGTCACCGTCGTTATGAGGTTCAAAGTTAGCATGCATGATGTTCAGGCCGTTTTTCCGGATTTCGCAATGCCTTGGTCGCAGTTGCTTCAAGCATCCGCCGAGGCAGTTTGTCCGTTTTTGTCCATGCAACATACTCCGCTCATTCCACAGGCTTCCTCCTCGCCGCCTACGTAATGGCACTGCAGCCGCAAGTATGTACTGGCGGCTCTTTATGCGGCGGATATTCGGGCGTGTTACTGAGCGCGCTAGCTAAATGTGACAAACTTTTGACGAAAAGGATTCTGGTGAGACAATATATTGCAATCACACTGACATTCAAATACGCTTTTGTATGCGGCTGACCACGTGCTGTCGACTGCAATAGTAGGGTTGGCTAATGCTCTCACATATCGTGCACATCACATCTCCGCACAACGGATGCTTCCACGTGTGAGAGGAAGTTCGGCAGCCCGAGACCGTGGCGACGTGGCACCAAAACAATGCAATTGAGACAACAGCGCATAATTGTGTTGGTACACATTTCTGGTCTGGTGTCCACCTGACCACGCCCCGTCGAGAGAGCTCTACATGAATCGGCTAATGCAGCATGTGCCCTCATCGACTTTGAGAATTTCGAGATAGACGATTCAAAACAGAACATAGCTACGTTGGTCCCAAGTAAAAAAAGTCAAGTGAGTGAATCATGCAAAGCTCCAGCGGTTCTAGCGGTAGTGGTAGCGATAACACTAGTTTTAGCTGTTCATGCCGTGCATGCTCTAAAATGAAATCACATCTTCAAACGAATCGCACATCACACAACGCTGGCTCTTGAGTATCTTTTGAAAGATGGGACTGTCTTCTACTTAAAGTGTCGTCCTTCTACGGTGGTGGGCTGCGGAGGTGTAATCCTTCCAAAGCGTTGGGCAAGATTGAACCGGTTTGGGTCGGGCCGCTGGTTAAAGCACAAAATCCTCTCAGATTTTGTGAGATCGCTGCCAGCGCCGTGGCCGATCGGTTGCGAGTGGCGCGCGTGGGCTGCTCCTTCAACGATCAGACCGTCTGACAGCCAGCAGCAGCTTCCTCCCGCAGCTACCGCCGCATCGGGGCCCGCCAGCTGGCTCGCTCCCTGGCGCCGGTGCTGTCCGGCTGTTTAACAGCACTGACTGTGGCTAGACATAACACAGTGCACGACGGATCCTGAATGGTAAGAAGACTTAAATGATTGACGAATCTTTTGTGATCTCTGAAATGTACAGGGCCTATCATCTAGCACTGATTTGACTGCATTGTGTGCCAACACACCAACAAGTGGGATTTACAAAATATCTTCGATGAAGCAAATTTCAGCTTTAGGACAGCACCATTTTACAAGTCATGGCAATATCGTGGTCATAGGCCACTCACACGCCTGCGACACGTGAGCCCTACGGCTACCAGAAAAATGTCACTCACACGCCTGCGACACATGAGCCCTACGGCTACCAGAAAAATGTCACTCACACGCCTGCGACACGTGAGCCCTACGGCTACCAGACAAATGCCACTCACACGCCTGCGACACGTGAGCCCTACGGCTACCAGAAAAATGTCACTCACACGCCTGCGACACGTGAGCCCTACGGCTACCAGAAAAATGCCACTCACACGCCTGCGACACGTGAGCCCTACGGCTACCAGAAAAATGAATGTGAATGGCATGTGGTGTGAACAACACAGCTCCTCAGCCCCAAGCTGGACCAGGATGAATGTCCACTTGTCGCTATTATTAGACTAACGAAGGCCTTGGAATGGTAGACCTTCCATGGCCATCAATATTAATGGTCAATGGTCAATGGTCAATGACACCAGAGGAGAGCGTGCCCCCTCCGATTCCGAAGCTCTGTGTTATATTCTAAGGCATGTAGGACTACGCCCCATGGGCTGTGTGGTCCCACCAGGTGCACGTCCCCGAAGTTCAGCTCTTTGAATGCCAGACTCACGCTCTTTTTTATAGCGGGCTGCACGAATTCACGTTACATATGCTGGGCGTGTCATTTGGCTTGTCGAGCATATCCAACCGGCAAGGCTAGCCAAGGGATGGACAGACTGTCACAGGGCAGTAGTTTCCATGAGTTTGCACGTCATGATGGCTATGAGGCGAGATATTTCGATGGAGAAGGCCAAAAGCGGAATGAGCGACCTCAGATGAGGGCTTGAAAATGTTTCTAAATGATGCAAGGATGTTTTCACAGATAAGACAGTAGTCTTAGCCTTATTCCTCGGAAAAAAAACAGAAGATTAACGATATCGCTGGATTGATACTTCGGCAACATGTCTTTCTCGAAACAATAGCAGAAGCATTCAGTTGGTCATCCAATTTTGGCACCTGCACGGTATTCATGCCCTCTGAAGCGTCCATTATGACACGTCCCGAAACATTTGGCTTGGCGTCAGGGCACCTTGAATGGTTCGGGCACTTGAGGACCTTTGCTATTGTTTCGAGAAAGGCATGTTGCCGAAATATCAACGTAATTATATCTCTATTCTCCCGTTTTTTTCCGAGGAATAAGGCTAATACTACTGTCTTATCCATGTGACTAATGCTTCTCGCTAATGTACTGAACAACTTATGTAATATTTTCACGGATATGCGTACTTAAGTGTTCGTCTGGTGCGTAAGTATGCTCGCAACTTTTTGGCCAGTGAACTCTCCGGCCGTCATCAGGTGTTATGCAGTCCTGGGAAGGTGTGCATGGTACCCGGCTTTTTGGCCAGTGAACTCTCCGGCCGTCATCAGGCGTTATGCAGTCCTGGGAAGGGGTGCATGGTGCCTGGCTTTTTGACCAGTGAACTCTCCGGCCGTCATCAGGCGTCATGCAGTCCTGGGAAGGGGTGCATGGTGCCTGGCTTTTTGACCAGTGAACTCTCCGGCCGTCATCAGGCGTCATGCAGTCCTGGGAAGGGGTGCATGGTGCCTGGCTTTTTGACCAGTGAACTCTCCGGCCGTCATCAGGTGTTATGCAGTCCTGGGAAGGGCTGCATAACACCTGATGATGAACATCTGGGAAGTGGCATGCTTGACTAGGAGTAAAGCGGTCTAGTGCTAAAATCTAGCCTGAAAATATAAATAAACCTCACAGATATTTTCTGCACTATGTACTTTCAGTTCAATAACAAATATTGCGGAAACGAGCGGGGAAAAGCGTTGCGGTTCTTGCGACCAGGGGGTGGGGGGGGGGGGGGGGGGGGGTGGGGGGGGGGGGGGGTGGCAAGTTTATTGACAGATTCGGAGACAATTAAGATTAAAAACTTTGGGTGTTTTCTTGTGGGTCCAAGTGTGAATGAAGTTTATGCATGGATAACGTGTTCGTGATAGTTACAGATGTGTTACGGGGTTGCCTAAAAACTCGATGACTCATGCTCCTTGGCCTGACTGAGGGGATCGAATAAAACGTTGTTTTCTCCCACTGGATATATGGTTAAGACCACAACAGCGATGGCCCATCACAGGTGGATGTGGGAAAGCCGTGCCGTGTCATGCACAAAGCTATATCTAGACTTCCAACTACACTAGGGTAACAAACTTGACTTAGCTATAATTCGAAAGCTCGTGAAGAATGCAGACAGACCTTTTATTTGAGCGAGAGGGAATTTGGCAGAGAGATTGCCACAGCGGTCAGTTATAGACCTCTGCACAACAAATTCAAAACAGTTCAAGAATAATAATTATAAATAGTTCAGCGCCAACCTACAAAATACAAGAAACATAACCGGACATATTATCCCAAAAAATGGTGTGTCCACGCATGTGTTTGCGTACTTGGAAAAGCTGTGCATACATATGTACACACACACACACACACACACACACACACACACACACACACACACACACACACACACACACACACACACACACATATATATATATATATATATATATATATATATATATATATATGTATATATATATATATATATATATATTGCCGGGGTATGATGGCCACTGACACCAGATCGGGGCACGCCAGGAGCCGCCCGGCGCCGATCAGCTACCACGACCCGTCCGTCGAACATTCTCACCTAACGGTCCACGTTTGGTGACGACCGCTTTGTTGATGGTTTCTATAGCCTTGGGCCCAACCATGGGCGTAGGAACAGGGGGGGGGGGGGGGGGGAAAGGCGGACCATAGCCTCCACACACTTTTCAAGGTGGTGGGGCCAGCAATGTTAACTGGCCGCCGCCCCCCCCCCCCCCTTTCAGATTAAGGTTGCATTTGGTTTACTTTTGAACTGTATTAAACATGCATGCCGATTTACCTAGTTCACCAGCCATCTCCCTTAAGACGCGTCATTTTTTCATTTGCTCATTGGCCATCACTTAGTGTTACAACCGCAAGACCGACCCCGCACG